AGAGGTGTGTCTCGCCAGCCAGGGGCTGGGATGTCTCCTCTCTGCTCGCCTGGGGACTGCGAACGGGCTGGAACAGGGGTGGCTTTTCTTGCCTCTTGGAGGGCTGAGATAAAGCAGCAGGGGAGAAACAAGGCAAGATAAATTCAGAAGGGACAAAACTCAGTGAGGTGGAGCGAGATAGGTTCTGTAATGCATTTGGCGAGCCATCAAATCCTCTCTCTCATCCCAGGGGAATCTCAGATACTCGAGCAAATCATCAAGCCCTGTAAACGACATCATCAGCGTCTTCCTCTGGAAAACATCATCACACTAATCCATTTGTCCTAGCAGCCAAATGATTAAAGTTTGAAAACTAAATTATACATGTTGCTGCAACAGTGTAAACACAATAATGACTCTCCTCTATTACACCTGTAACCTCTGCTATAATAGCTTTAATGAGCTTTTGGCCTCGTTATCCAAAAAGAAAAGATTATTACGTGATGCTTTATGCCATAAACGTGTTCTTCCCTCTGCCAGGGGCCAAGCATCTGCAACGTAGCCGTGCTGAGGAGCTGCACGGGAGCTGCGGGCCGGGCACCCGCGGTAGGTGGGCGCCTTCCCCAGAGGTGGGGGGCAGCCCCAGGCTCATTTTCTCCTGCAGCGGGGCACGGGGTGCGGGCCCCCCGGGCATGACGCCACATCGGTGTGAGCCCCGTCTGCAGCGTGCAGGCTGCTGGAAACCCTGTGAGGGGAACGGGTATCTACCCCCATTCCATAGGATTATCCTATGGTGTGGAGTTACTCCAAGCTTGCATCTTAGCTTAATTTAATAACAGGCTGTGAGCTCTACTTTGATCTGCTTCTGTTTTTCACTAGTTTGATATTTAACTGGACTGGTCATCATAGAGGCCAGAACTGTTTCACTTTCTGTGCCAGGCTGGGTTTCCTGTGGAATGTGCAAAGGACACACCCACACGGTGGGTTTCTGGCATGCCAGGATGGGGAAACCTGTTATCAACAAAGGGAGCACAGGAATCTGGAGTCGGTGGATTCCTTTCCCCAAACACGTGGCCAAACCTGAAAATCCAGCTGCCTGGCTTTTTTTGTTTACTGGTTTCCATGTCTGCTCTACTGTGTCCTGGGAATGTGTGGCAGGACTCTCCACTTCTTTCCGGGAAGTCTGGTGGTGGAATGGGAGCTGGTTTGCCCCTTCCAAAATCTGCAGACTGGAACCTGCTTTGCCTTGAGTCTGGTTGTGTTTATTAAGCATTATCCTGTATCCCAGGTGTCCTTCAGTGCTCTCCCGGACAAGAGACTTGCTGGCCGTGGGCTCTCCCACTGGTTCCGTGCTTCTGGCTGCAGCCCCACAAATGCCACTGTCACCCCAAACGCAGCAGAAACAACTGTCTGTGTGTTTGTGGTTCTCACTTGACACAGCAACCTCTGATTTGGGATCCCACGCAGCAGAGGTAACAGAAGATGTCCCTGCTGGAGCTGGGCTTCTCCCTGAGACCCCAGGGCTGGTGAGCCCAGTTCGCAGGTGATGTGGGCTTCGTTCCTGCTCGCAAAACGCAGCCTGGAAGCTGTGCTCATTGTTCGTGTGAAACTTCTTGTCAGATGCTTTCAAGAAAGGCAAAGAATCTTAAACGCTTTGATTTTCATACTTAACAGGCCACACTTGTGCTGACAGTACCTGCTGGCAACAACCTCTCAGATGGCAACAGGAAAAACCCACAAAACCCCAGAAGAATGCTTTGCCAAGACAGGCTTGACAAACTTTAAAGACGTTGGAGGAGGTAAAGGTAATTTAGGTGGGGATGCAGGTGATATCATTGTGTCCCAGAACTGCGATGTAGCTATGGCAACACACTGTGCTTGTGGGGTACTGACATATTTATGTCTTCTAAAAATCTTAAAACCTGTCCTTTTGCTTATAATTAAAGAATTCGTGTTTTTTTTTATTTAGTTTCTGCAGTGAACTCACCCTAAAGAAAGCCATGAGCTCCTGACATCTCAGAGTCCTCTGCCATGTTTGCGGGAAGCAGAGGGACCCAGTTTGTGTTTCAGGCATCCGGACTTTCCTAGGGGTACCCGTGTTCCTCACCACTGGGCTCTGCCCGTTGAATTTTCCTCTCCAGGCTCTCAATCCTGAAAAGATTCATCAGTGAAAGGAGCACGCAGGGTCACACAAGGTCTGGACGACCAGGGTCGTTTCTGGGACCATCCTGCCAGGGTGCTGCGGTACGCGGTACTTCCCGCGGCTCAGGATCCCTGCGCCTTGCCCCGTTGCGCAGTGCCATCTCCTGGAAAGCCGTGCCTGGGCTGCACACATCATCACAAGCAGAGTTTTGCTCCTGAAGCAGCTAGTGGTGCTGCAGGCAGCTTGGCTGCTGCCTCTGATTGCCACAAAGATTATCTTCTGACCCACCAAGAGTCCCTCACCAAACTCCTCTTCCTCCAGCAGGTATGAAGGATGCTGCCCGCCCTCACCTCCAAGGTAGCCCGCATCACCACTGCTCAGCTCTCTCCTGCTCTGGATGCTGAATACGAATCTCTAGGTACAAGAGGAACAGCGAAGGTGCAGAAATGAACATCTATAGATGTTACTCCTCAGCTTTTGTTCTGTTTGATCACCAGTTCCTGATTCAGCTGGATGCCTCGCGTGTACACTCACCCTGTAAGTGCCCTGTTTACCTCTTTCTCTTGGTTTTGACTTTAAGGGACACTTTTCTCTCTCCCTCCTCAAGCTGGATGACCTTGCCACGAGCAACAACCAACAACCCTCATCACGGTGCTCACCCTGTATTTAAAATGTTGCTACGGCTTTTTAATGAGACAAAAATGTGTACGTGGAACTTGGGTCTGAATGCTGCTAGCTTGACTAAGCTCTATATTTATCCTGAAAATACAAGAAATGTGGGTGGTTCCAAGGGCTACACCTTTACTGCTATGAAACAGTAACAGAGCTTAAGTGCTTAGTCACTGAAAAAATGCACACTGCAATTTAAAGCCAAAGGCTGGTGCTTCACCCATCATTTTAGGCTATTGTGGCATATTCTGTGCAGCTGGGAGATTAGTATACTTTGCTAATCTGTCATACGCGATGGAATAACTAGTGCTCCAAGGTAAGGCTGTGAAAGCTGTTATCTGAAAAAAAAAAAAAAGACCATAATTATGTGAACACAGGGCCACAAAGTTCACGAACACGAGACAAAGCTACTGTGACACGTGGCTGTTTGCAGCTTTCTGTGGCCCTTTCTCAGCGAGGTTCTGTGTTGCAAACTTGGCGTGAACTCATTTTTGCCCTGGAGCACGCTGATGAACTGAAACAGCCTGTTTACCAAAAATGTATTTTTATTAAAATTCAGTATTTGTAAAGGAGAGATCATTACACAAATGAGGTAAACCAACGCATGTCATAGTTTTCACTCTAAAAATAAATTTCAATTGAGCAATTGATTTGATTCCACGAAGTCTGAGAGGAAGAGTCGAGTGTTACTCATGCGGCGAGATGCCGGACAAGGTGGGAAGACACAGCTGCTGCTGCCCTGACTCAGCACAGAGATGGTGGCAGTGCCAAAGAGTCAGGAGTCTTCCAGGGGCTAAACCCTTCTAACCGCACTGTCCTTTTCTCCCCAGGTCTTGCAGCTGAGAGGAGATGAGCAAAGGCCAGACGGGCAGCAGTAGCCGCTTCACCTACTGCTCTAACCAGGGGTCCCTCACCAGCATCCCCCCAAAAAAGGCTGTGTAAAGGTTTAATTTGATTGTGCAAATTCAGCCGCTCATTGGTTGTTGCTCACCATGTCTCAGCCCTAAAGGAGACTTAACAGCAAGCACATACCAGCTCTGAAAAAGTTTCATTTCAAAACAATATCTGGCAAGCAACAAGCCTGTTAAATGTGACACACTTTGCAAGGTACAAGAAGAGTTATGCTTCCTTCTCTTCTCTTTTTTTTTTCCAAGTTTGCTTCCACGCGAGTACAAGTGGAGCTTTTCATCTAAAGTTTATGAAGTTACTGCAAGTCTGTGAGAATCATGTTCACCATTCTGTGAAATTAAGCTTTCTCATTGAGGATCAAGCCCCATGGCTTGAACAGCTCCAAGAAGAGAAAAGTGGCTGCAAGTGTTGTTTTACCCTGTATAATGGTAAGAAAATAGCAAGGTGAACCTCAGACCCATTTCTCAGATTGCCACTCAAAGCCAGCCAGCAGACTAACAAAGAATGGCTGTACTTGCTTCCAGCTCCTAACAAGTACAGAACAAATACCACCAGCAGAACCAAATAACGCTCCCAAATTCACTCAATTAAACCAGTGGCTAACAAACTCCTAAAAGTAGACTCTTGGAAATTACTGTGTGGCTAAAGCTCTGCAGTCCACCACTTGATGGATGGAGGTATTACAAAGGTGACAAACTATGCAGATGAAATAGAGATGGAGTTTCACCTCTTACACCCATGTGAAACTCACCCAGGCCCTCAGGTATTAACTACGCTGAGACAGGTAACACGTTGCTTCCGATACGTATCCCAGGACAGTATCTGGTAACCAAGACATGAAATTTTCATCACATCTGCCAAGTTCGTAGTGAAATTTCATGACTGCAGGCAGATAGAACACAGGGTGAATGCACTATTTTAATGCCATTTATATCCTCAGGGGATGTGGTTTGGATTTAAACTGCACATAGGCCTGGTGCTGGTCTGCTTGGGCTGGATGTCACGCTGCAAGAGCAGTATCTGTAACTCTTAGTGCAGAGAGAAGGTTGTACCACATCCAGTACCAGGTTTCCAGTAAATGCTTTCAGCAAGAGACAGAAATGCATTCACTACTGTCCACTACAGTTTCTGATAACTGTATCTTAGCAGCTGCAGTACTGGGATATCGCAACAAGACTCTCCACATCAGAAGTCAGTTAAAGGCTACAGATCTTGAGAGAGAGAGAAAGAGAGAGAGGGAGAGGTGTCATACTTAGGATATTTTTTTCCAAACAGAAATAAAAAAATAGCTGTCTTTTTTTTTTTTAATAAATCTATTGTTTGAGGAACTAAAGCAACCAATGTTAAGTTCCTGGTTTATTACACATCCTGCTAGGGCTCTGTATGACGAGTCTGAAAAGGCAGATTAGCATAAGATTAACAGAGAATGAAAGCTGTTTAGGCTCAGCGAGACTCTAAGGCGAGTCGTTTCACATTGACAAGAGCTAGCACCCCTCGCTCCCTGCATCCACTGGCAGCACAGGCAGGTTTTTTTCCCCAAGACAGACATCCCATCACTGTTTCTTTCACTGGATCATGCCATCTTGCTGCCCCGTCTGGCTGGGGTCAGTGGTGACCGACGGACTGGGTGTATTGCTCTGCAAAAATCGACGGAAGTCCTTAATCATGGGGCGGAGGACCTGGATGAGGGCACTCAGTGCCGCCTGTGTTCCTTCCATGGCTTGTGCCTGTCGCTCCTGGGCACACGCCTGTACCTCCTGAGAGCGACGAATCATCTGAAGCAAGTCATTCTGCTGCTCCAGGTGCTGGGCAATCTCCTTCACGTGCAAGTTGGTCACTCGCTGCTCCTGCAAGAGCTTGGCAGAGTTCAGAGCAATTCGGCTTTTCAGCTCCTGGGGTTTCGCAGACACTTCGTGCTGATGTGCCATCATCTCCAAGGGGGCTTCAGCAGTGACTGTGGTGGGGGCTTCTGTTGTGCAGTACTCCACGACTCCATCCCCCAGACTGTGGTAGGTCGTCTCTGCAGGAACTGAAAACAAAGGACAGAAAGGGAGTAAGAAGTAGCTGCAATGTGGGCATTTTTATCTACAGGACTATTTAATGAATATCACAGGAATACTGCCTGTTCAGTTAGATAACACACAATGGACAGCAATGCACAAAATGACCTGTTTAAGTCTACTCCACCCTCATTCGAGCTTCCGTCTAGGCTGTACAGTCCAACGGAATAGGGCTTGCCTTATCTGACTAGACAAAACCATTTATCAGCCTCCAGTTCAGAACAATCTTTTCAAGCAGCAGTAACCAACTGATAGCAAAGACAAGACCCGGACTGGCACTTGTCAAAAAGACAGCTGCTCTTTGGGGCAGACTGGGAAACCAGCCTTGGAGATGTTTTTCCCTGTTTTTGTCCCCAGAGAGAGGGACCAAACAATCTGCGAGGTACAAAGGATACTGGCTTCCCTTGTTCTTAAGGCTGAGACCAGCCATCAAAGCTGACTTTCAGTACACGTGTATCTTGCAGCCATGCCCCTACGGCACCAGGATATTTTGGGAATGGCATTTTCATTACAGAAACGCAGGGGTTTCTTTTTGCTGGGGCTTTCCCCGTACAGGGCTCAGGGTCTCCTTGCAGGCGAGTGTCTGGGCCCCCCGTACGACCTTCCAATTCAGCACAGAGGATCTTCAGCAGGCACCGCACTCACTCTGGGTCAGGGTGACCGTGGTGGCTGACGCGGTGATGGGTATCTCAGTCCCGTCACCTGCGCTGCAGTCCCCACTTGGCAAACTGATGATGGTGGCTTCTCCCAGCAAGTTGCAGATGCGTTGCTGCATCGGGGTGAGGATAACTGGGGCGGTCGCAGCGCCTGATGGGTCTTCGCTCTCCGGCCCGTTGCCGTTCCCGTTCTGGCTCTCGCCTCCCCCTTCCATGGCAGCCCGGACTTGGGCCACTTTGCGCCGCACCTCGGTCTTGAGGTCGGACCATTTCTTTTTGACCTCGGGCAGCTCGCGGTGGCAGGTCGCGACGGCGTTGACGCGGCGCAGGATGTCGTGCCAGGCGGCGGCCTTGGCGGCCAGGGGCACGCCCGCGTTGAAGTGGTTGATGAGGAGGTGCTTGCCTCGCTCCAGCTCCTCCACGATGATCTCCACCTCCCGCTCCGAGAA